AAAAAGTATTAAAAACTCAAAACTTCTTTTAAGGAGTGTTTGATAGGTATTTTTTTTTAATATACAAATGAATTTTAGAATAGTAAATTAATGTGAAATGTATGGTTGAAAAATAAAGAAAAGTTTTTTATTTACGTATAATATTCTTTTAGTAAAGAATGTGTGGTTGAAAAGAAGAGAGATAAAAATACATTTTGAAAAAAAGGCTACCAAATGGGGCCTTAGGTCATCTCCAATTCTACACCAAACTAAAATTCATCTCTAACCATTGCACCAAAAATTACACAAAATGAACAGCGTTTAACCATTTTCTTCTCTTTTTTATTCTTTATAATTTATTTATTTAAAATATTATTTATTTAATTATTTCATAAATTACTAAATAAATAATTACGTTAAATTACGGAAAACATTAAATTCATTAATAAATATAAAAAACATAGAACAATTAATAAAAATACTATAACAACGAAAATATGAAATCATGCCATCAAAAAATAGTACAATACATTTCGAATTTGGATAGACGATATTACGAAATCCCTAAATTTTTGCAATTTAATTCTCAGAATTCATATGTTCATCCCACAAATGATCGATTAATGCATTTCGAAGTGCAATGTAAATTTTTTTATCCTTGATTTGTCTATGACGAGCAAGAAATTCCTGAAAATGTCGATTTGAACTATGCACTCTTTTATGTATCCTTTTTTTAAAAATAAAATTAGATTATCGTATGTATGTCACTATTTAATATATTTCGTGTTAACTATAATAAGAAGTCGTGTTTGATGTATTTTAAATTATTTTCGTCTTTTAATTAATTTTTTAATTATTATGTCTTACATTTAAAATAAATTTTAAATGCAAATAATAAAAATAATTTATTGTATTAAAAAATATATAGCACAAATAACATAAGTACTATTAATAAATTTATTTGAAAAATGTTAAATAAGGTCAAAAGAGACATTTTTCACTTTGCACCATTTTACATCAAAATGGTGTAAAGTTTGGTGCAATTGAAGCAACTTTGCACCAAAAAATGATACAAAATGGTGTAATGATTGGAAATGCCTTTCGGGTCCGTTTGATTGCAAAGATGGAATTTGGGTGGAAAGAAAATGAATTTCAGGGAATTAAATTGATGGGAAATTATTTTCTTGGAAATTGTAAATTATTGTGTTTGATTGATATAATTTTTCATGTGAAAAATGTTTAAATTAAAAATTTTTTTGATATCCGTTTGACTTTGTTTTACGTGAATAGTGTCAATTAAAGAGATAGAATTTACTGGTATTGGATATAAAATTTGTTTCCATTGTCAAAACAAAAAAACAAAAATTTCAAGAAAATCATCTATCTTTTTATATTCGTTTGATTTTGATTTACATGAAAATTGTCAATTAAAGGAAAATACTTTTTTACAATAATTCTTAGAATTTGTCTTCATTGCCAACATAAAAAAAATAAAATCGAAAAAAATTAAAAAAAATGCTACAGTAACCAGGGAAATGAATTCTCACCACATCCTCAATTAGATGGAAAATATCCATGTACCAATAAAAGCAAGAAAATCAATTCGATGAAAAATAAATGATATCAAACACCATTAATTGAGTAAAAGACGAAAAATTTATTCTATTTTGAGTAATACTATTTGTAATCACTCACTGTGGTAGTCGTCTTATGTGACATATACATGGCACGTGATTATTTGATGTATTAATGTGATAATTTTTTATTCATTAATGTATCAAATAATCACCTGTCATGTGTATGCCACGTAAAGCGACTGTTGCGATGAGCGATTTTCAAATACATTATTCTTCTATTTTCCATGAAATTGGTTCCAATCAAACACTAGTTTTAGTGTTTTGCGGTCAAAAAAGCAAAATGAATAAAAACACGAGAAACACACCTAAATTAAAAACGACCTTTATTATTATTATTATTTTTTACTCACGGTTTGCTCTGCTCGCAGATTGAAGAATCTCAGAGGCTCATCCTCATCTCCTATCCTCGTCGTCGAGTTCCTGCTCAATACTAACCTCAAATCTAGGTATGTCTTTGGTATTATTGCTTTGCTCTGCCTTTTCATTCCTCCATTTTCAAATTGTTTTTATCTTTTTCTTTGCTCAATACTATCTTCAGATTGTGTAATTGTCTTCGCTTTTTTAGAGTTGTTAACACAATTTTGACCGCTATAAATTGTGGGCTTTCACTAAATCATTGCTGCTTCTGCTTTATTGGGCACTGTAGCTAGGGTTCTTCACTCATACTATATTATTTTTGCTGTATTAATAAAACCCCTTATTTAGTTTGTTTGCTGCTTTTTTTTTTTAATGTGCCATCGATTTGTTATTTGTTGCTTAATAGATCATAACCCATATAGTTTTTCTGCAAAAATCTAAATTTATTTCTGCGTGACTGTTGAATTTCTTGTTCTATTTTTGTTATTGAATTGGGTTCAGTTATGTCCCGAGAAAGACACAAACTCATGCCTGAGTAGGATATCAGGTGGTAGCTGTTGTTGGGCAACTTTTTACTCCTATGTGCTATTTGAGCATTTGGTGGATTCTGATTTGGCTTTTTTCTTTGACGGATCTGAACTCTGAGCTAAGTTTTAGCAAATTGATGCAATGAAGAAGGAAAAAAAAATAAATTAAATTTAGGATAATTATGTAGTGTTATCTTTTCAGACATTCAAGCAAATGCTGGATCTGATTTATTTGAAATTGCATTTATGATCATTTTCTTTTCGTGCAATTGGAGCTGATTTTAAAATACAAAATGTTTGGTGGGTTGTAGATTAATTGTTATGTTGTCTATCTTCCAAAGATGTGTAGTTTTAAAGTTCATCGACTTTCACACTAAAGGAGAAGTGAAACTCTCTAGACTTCTAAGATTTCTAGTTAGCACTATGAACAAAGGGTTAGTTTGTGAAAGCACTTGGATATTACCTTTTATACTTGGTGGTAATGTAGGACGCAACCTCTATAGAAATAAAAAAGTTGCTAGTTTTAAATTAACTGTAGCTGAACATGAATGAAAGGATGAATATCTTCTTTAATGTAGCAGAAAGTTTTCATTTTTCCTATTAATCTGATCTAAAAAAATGTAGAGTTTTTGGTGACTTTGAAACTCCTTATATGTGGATAACCTCTCTTTTATTAAATTTGACTAATAAAATATTTCAATAGAGGCCTTTTTTATCTAGGAAAGGAGTAATAGTATTGGTAGTTTATTGTAACCTTTGTCTCTTAGTTGCTTATAAAAAAGCCAAAAATGAGACCATTATTCAGTACCAGAAAAATTGGATGGACAAGTCCATTAGATTTGACCAATGACATGCAAATTTTGAAAGTTTTTAAAACATAGCTGAATTTAATTTCTTGAAAATATTTTTAAATACAAGATTCAACTTTAAACAAAGTTATATTCTTGAATTCTTTATTCATTTACAACATTGGGTTCGTTAGACTGGTGTTTATATATAGTCACTTGCGTGTATATGCTAACTGATTTTCATGATTTTGGGTTTTTGGAGGAGTATAGGCTGATTTATTATTAGGTCTTTGATTCTTTCATCCAGAGCACTGGGGTTCCTTGTGATTGGTGTTTATATAAACTTGTGTATCTTTATGCCTAACTAGTTTTCATAATTTTGGTTTGTGGAGAAATGATTATATACTCTTCTGCTATTATGTATTGAATTCTTGATTAATCCGCATGGATGGCTTTAGTTTCTGCTGTACCAAAAGTCTTGAGATTTATATTTTTTCTAAAAATATTCTGGTAATTTTTTGTTTTTGCCAAATGAAGGACTGCAGACATTGAATACTTTGTGAAGAGAATGGTGTTTGCTTTCTGATTATTTTATTAAACACCAGAAGCGTAGACAATAAAAATTGTTCAAGATTAGGATTTGCAAGTTGGATTGATATTGGACAGATCACCTAAGAGAGGAAAATCTTGAATACTTGATTGGTAATCAAAAGAAGTTTTGTTTCTGTCGAGTTAATTCATAATCCAATTTTTCCATATCAAAATTCATAAATTATATAACAAAATAGTACACCCTAACACCAAAGATAAAAGACCCTTACGTGAACTATACAGTTAGTACAGTTAGAAGTTAGAATTACATGTTTAAGATTCCGAAATGGAAAAAATACAATAGGAAAATTGGAAAGGGGAAATTCTTTAACCTCCATTAGTGTGCGATTCTTAGGTGGGAGCAAGTCTATATATTAACAAACCTTTTGCAGGTAATGTCGAAATTACAATTGAAAATGGACATTTTTGCTGGCGCTTGTATATAGTCCTTAGTATGCCACTGTTGTATCTTGAAAGCTGTGTTAAATCCCATGTTCAGTAACTGTAAATTCCACCTGCAGTAGACTGTACCCTTGTAATTTGAAGCATTAATTCATATGATGATGCCCTCCTCATTATTTTGATTAAGATTCTAATGTGTTTTTTAGTCTGTGATGGGACCTTTTTCCCTTCGCTTTTTAAGAAAATGTCTAATGTGCTTAGGTCCTTTAATGAATGCTCCCAGAGATCTTCTAGTTAGTGATGACAATTTACCCCGTCCCGTCCCGCCCTGCGTAGAGATCTTCTAGTTAGTGATAGCAATTTACCCTGCCCCGCTCGTGGGGCGGGGCATAAATGGTCGCTATTGTAAAAATTTGTTTCGCAAGTGTACGACCCGTAACAAGTAATAGTGGACCTAAGAGTTCGATTTGTCGATCCCACAAGGACTATTTTGTAGCACTTAATTCAATCTTTCTTTAACTACTATTTGGCTAACACAAATCAAAGGTTGTAAAATTTGGATTTTAATCTAAATTCTAGAAAATAAATGAATGTTCACACCATTGGTTGGAGAATCAAATAATGAATGGATATCAGGGTTGAATAACTTCACCAATTGATCACCTTTACATCTCAAATTAAAACTCAATTCTAATGTAGCGCTCGATCGAATTCTCCTATTGTATTTAATTTACCCCTCTCTGGTTCTCATTGAGCCTATTCAACTAATTAAATTTCATATCTTTATGGAAATTCAACTTAGTTAAACGAGTTTTATGTTTTAGGAATTCAATTATGACCGTAATAAATGGTATATGTATCTCTACTCGTTATACCAATGTATTGGATTTTACTACATGGTTTAAATTCTAAACTTATATCTCTATTTGTAAAGAATTCACAAGAATCATTAAATTATTGATCAGATAATTTAATGCATTCAACTCATAGCAAAATTAACACATGTAAGAATTAAAAACTGAAAGTCTTAATAAGAGAATGTAAAAGATTCCAATCGATTACATTATTCCCCCTAACAATGAATTTAATTACTCATAATACAAGAAGAAAAGTAGAAAATTGGCTTAGAATACATCACCGAGTTTGTAATAAAGATATAGAAGAGAAAGTAGAATTCTTGCACCAAAATTTCCTTCCTCTTCCAATGAATGCTTCTAATTTCCAATTGCTTGATGTTAATTTTCTTGAATTTCTCTTTTGAATCTCTCTTCTTGTTGTTTTCTCTCCAATATGTCAAGAATCCTTCAAAAGTATGAGGAAGATGTATTTATAGGTGCCCTCTCCGTTTTATGTAGAAGTAGGGTTTTTATGGATCTAAAAACGGCCCAAAAAATGCGCCATAGATCTTCAATTGCAGCGCCCAGACGCTATGTCTTCGGCGCCCAGGCGGCCTCTCGGGGCCAAATTTCATTTTTTTTTTAGTTTCGTAGCGCTCAGGCGCTATGAATGCAGCGCCTAAGCGCCGTCTTTCTGCCCCAATTTTGTGTTTTTGGCCACTTTGTCCACATTAATACTTCTTTTCACATCGCTTCTCCTAATTTTCAAAACAACACTAACAAACATATCAAAAACGTTCTATACGCACAAGATCTAGCATTTAATCAAGCTACAATTATGCAAAAATCATGAGTGAAACAAACTCATCAAATACCCCCAAACTTAACCATTTGCTAGTCCTCGAGTAAACAAACAATCCAAACAGTAAAATCATCCAAGAACGATATCCACATAACTAGTCAGTTAGACAGCATGTCTTTTTGGCTCAGCATGATAACATTATATTATATTTATGAATGGTGTTAAAATCACAATGCAAGAACCAAACTTCCACTCATACAAAGCGAAGCGGGTGTGTGCCTGCGTGGATGGTCAAGCGTAGCGTCGTACATTCACAAGTTGGTTCACTTCCTAACCCTCAATGGTCAGTTATTTTCTTTCTTCACTCGTAAGATTCACACACCCCCAAACTCGATTCTTTTATTCTCTTACCATGGTGTAATTCTAAAGTTCAGTTTTGTTTAAGATTTTCTCACACCACTCTAATTTGGGTTAGTTCAACTGGCATCGTCAACAATTCATTCATGTAGTGATTCTCCCAATTTATGAGTATTTCAACAATCTAGTTTATACTTAATGATTCAAACCCACTAGTTATCTAGGCCCTCAAGATCAGTTTCTCTTTATTTATTTATTTAATTTTTTTACCTCACCATTTTTTCCACTTCTTGACCTCTGTAGCGAGTGTTAGGTCAATAATTCCTCGATTTTTTAGATACCAAAGGGTATCAGGTTTCAAGAAACCCCTACGGACTTATGAGGCTCAGCTGAATACGTGCAATGCTTCTTCTCTAATAAAAAGAAGCGAAATTTATAGGGGTTAGATTTCTAGCATTCGATCATCACCAAGCTTATACCAGAAAATTAAATACACTTCACACAATCTTTTTCACATGTACGAAATCACCACAATCTTAAATCATTTCTTTTGTCGGTTAGAATGCCCCAAATTATAATGTTTACGGTTAAGGGGGTATTAACATTCATAGGTTACGGGATTACACACCTAAGTCATCTCTTTAGCCTATGTACATGAGCCCTCATGTTCCTGTACGACCCTCAACTTAATACTCGTATATAAATGTTATATCGCTTCATATGTAAAAGTAGAAAATCCAATTAAAACATATGATTCAACCACAATCCATAAACTAATACATGCTCTCAAATATATTCATCATAGCTAATAAGATTATCTAACTTACACAAGTATGTTGAAGATGAAAATGCATATATAATTTTTTTTTTTTAACTAAACACATGAACACATAAAAGAAGCAAATCACATGCAAGCATTCGAGAAACTCAACAACGTAAGCAAATTTATTCACCCCCAAACTTAACTGAAACATTGTCCTCAATGTGAAATAGAAACAAAATGGGGAGGGGACTTACCTCATGGACAACGTTAATCATTGTCCTCGACATCGTCGTCCTGGGTATTCGAAATTGGATTGGCAGCGTGATCAGGTAGGAGAGACGGTTGAGGAAATGTTCGATCGGAGTAAATTGAAGCCAATACCGCATTGAACTCATGTTGATAATGGAATTGCTTGCACAATGTATTTTGTATCAAATTCATTTGCAATTGCATGTCATGAAGTTGAGCGGTAAGGTCAGAAGTGGGGTCACTAGCTGGTGTCGATCGGCGTGAACGGGGCGGCTGGTCATTCCGAGGAAGGGGTGGAGCACTGGTGGATTCGGAGCAGCGTAAGAACTTCCAAGTATGCGCTCGTGTGATAGTTGGTTTGGGGTGCACAACCTCCTAAGTCGAGTATGTGACAACACCACCCGCTAAGCAAAACTCATAAATCAACGATGGGTGCCCTAGACCACCTGTCATGGATCCTTTCAAAGTGTGTAAGATGTTGTTGTGAATAACTTTACAAATATCAATTGATAGGCGGCATTGAATGGCATAATTGAGGGTAGCCCGTTCTTTTGTTACTTCACTTGAATTGCTATTTGAAATAAGTTTGCCAGAAATGAAGTGATGCCAAGCCTTACAACCCGAAGTCATACCAGAAGCAGGGAAGTTAATTACATCAGTTTTCGAACGTTTCCATGTAGTACCAGTTGTGGCCAATACTAGAATGACCTCATCAGGATCAACACCCTCGTCACGAAGTTTAGAGTACTCGTCATTTTCGATATCTTGCAAATGATAAAACCTGTTGACGGAGGTTCTGTCAAATGGTATCCATTTACCCCGCACAAACACTCGAAAATCTTGACGCTCCTTTGCATTGGCGTAGAACTCCCGAACAACCGAAATTAGCGCCGGTCGTGGTTGTCGAGCAAACACTTCCAAGTTCCGCCGACCTATTTGCTCTGTCATATAATTGTCAAAACCACGTTTAGGGATACATGTCTTGTGTACCACTAGGCTATTATATCGTTCAGCGACCTCGGCACTAATGAATTTGCTTCTGTCAAATGAGCTAAAAGAGGAGGCTGCGGCTTTAGATCTCTTTTTAGGCGGCATTGGACCTGTGCAAGGGTAGAACATGCAAACCATTAGCAAAAACAGCAGTAAAGGAAAATAAGGCAGGTTTAAAATCTAGCCATAAGAGGGAACTATGGGCGAACGTGCAATAGATGTATTCTAAACCCAATTTCAATTCACGATGTTCTACATGGCAATTCCCACCAGGGGCGGATCCAGTACCTGGCGAGCTAGGGCGGCCGCCCTAGCTGGATCTGCCGGAGTCTTCATAGCCGCCGGGACCAACGAGTGGAAGTTGCAGTCTCCAGAAGCTTGAGCGCAGAATGGAAGGGAAGACAACAGAGTCATAGATGATTAAATTATGTTGCAACCGACAGCTTGGTTTGCACTTTGCACTTGCAGACTTGCTCAGCCATGGAGGAAGTTGCAGACACAGGAAGAAGAACCGAAGAAGACAACGTTTTTTTTTTCATTTTTCTTTTGGGCTGATGACAATTGAATGGGATGGGCATTTTTTGTTTAAAAACAATAGGCCCAAATCCAATTGCCAAAATCCAAATCAATGAATCATTATCAATTCATGGTCATTTTCAATTTCCCCTAAATCGTAAAAGGCAAACCTAAGGGCGAAGGGCGATTGGCGGAGGCTGAAGTGCGATTGAAACCACAAAGTTGCAAACTCTTTACCTAATTGCCTAATTCCATAATCAGTGGCGATTGGCGAATCCATTCGAAGCAGCAGATTTGGTAGTATTTTATATTGTCCAAGGATCCTATTGCTTTATTTTCACAAAGTTTCGTTTCTTGGAATTTATTGATAATTCTGGCTTCTCTGGGCAGGAATGCAGGGGATTTTTTGGAATTCTTGTATAATCTTGAGCTCTGATTGATCTACTTGAATTTGTGGGTTTTCAAACATTCGAAGTGTCTTTTACATTTATAATGGAAGTTCTACCTTTTTTTTAGCTTTTTTATTACATTATAATAATAATAATTATTATAATAGGTTTATACTTTCTGTGTTAATATTTGTTGTGTTAGGGCCATTTACGGAGAAGGGTATTCATAAATTCTATCTCTTTGTGGGGGTTGGAAGCTTATTGTTGTATTCTCAGTGTGTAAACAGGTGAATTTTCCCAATTAAAGAGGACGAATTTTATGGTCAAAGAAGAAGATTTAGTGGTGAACTTAATTAGATTGTTGAAAGTTTTGTGCTTTACATATTTTGAGCTGAGCTGCGAGTACGAGGACGTCGACTTCGTGTTGAATTATATGTGAGTGGCCTTGAGCCTTGACACCCTGACCACGACTTTGTATGGTATTATTTATTTTTTAGGCTAATTTTGCTAATCAATTTGAGCATTTTCTGGCCAATGCAGGTCAACTATCTTGCTGATTGTAGTCTTGAGATTTTGGATGATCCTTTGGTGACTGCACTGCTCGAGGTACTTAAGTTTCGTTAATTTAACTTTGAAATTGTGGCATTATTCTTAAGTATGGACTTGGACTTTTTAGCTAGTTGGTCATCTATTACCTTTTATAGTCATACAAAAGAAATATTAGGTCTGTGAAAGATTCTATTGTAGAGTTTTTTTTCTAGAACTGTTGATATTGCTTGCATATTAGGAGTCTCTACTCCGGAGGCTAAGATGTATAGCCAGTAACCTGTGACTTAAGATATATAGAATTTATTAAGAAGATCAATAGATCATGGATCACAGACATTAGAAACATTATTTTCTCTTGGTCTTCATAATTCTTGAGGAAGGGCTTGACTGTTGACGGTCAAAGGTCAACTACCGACCGCCCTAGCTGACTTCCATTTCTGGGTTCGCCACTGATTCCCACATAAGTCAATTAGCACAATAGCCAAAATAGCTCCTTTGTATCCAATTAAGTTCACCCAGGCAATCTATCAAACACGTTGAAGGCACCAAATTTTCACCAAAAATTGCCCATGATTTGGGAGTAATTCATGCCACATTATTCGTACCATACACAAATTTCTTGACACTACAACAAAGCAAGCCCTCCTCTTAACATAAATATAAAAAATAGGCACATATAAGCAACAATTATCATGTAAAAGAGGACAAAAAAATAGGGAGCAAAAAAGAACCATACCTGAAATGGTGTTGTGGAAACTAATAGGAATGGATGAATTTACACGTAGCAACAATGAAATGTTGAAAACAACAAGGGGGATTGGGAGGGGAGCGAGAATATGTGGAATTGAAAGAATTGTGATGTGGGTGAGGTGATAAAATAAATTCAACAAAAAAAAAAAAAAAACAAAACTAAAAAATAGGGTTTTCAAAAACGGGGGGGGGGGGGGGTCTC